AGGGCACCGACATCAAACTGGAACAGTGGTTCCCAAAAGCTTGAACCCCAGGTCCTGTCGGGTCCTGCGGCTGAACTTGATTGAGGCATAGGAAACCAGGGCCAAAGCGGAGGCTTGAAAACACTCACAGTGGAAATAGTTTCAAGATGTGCGAAGTCCCTAAAGAGATCTCCACAATTCCCATAGAACCATGCAGGGAAACAGCCAAAACAATCTCCCCAGAGAAACCTAAAGACAAACATGCTCCCACCGCTGAAGCTGGCACTAAGGACTACAGATTTGACCGAGTTCCGATGGAGTTTAAACACCGCCCCCTCCCTGGGCTGTCAGCAAGTTGGACACGATTTCATTACCATGGTGATACAGGGGTGGTGGGGATTATCCAAGTGGCATTCATTCGTTCGCTCCATAAATATTTACCGAGCACGGAGTCTATGCCAGGCACCATGTAGAGGCTGGGATCTGCCACGGACCGCACAGAGCCCGCATTCCTCAATCCAGGTGTGAGGGGCCGAGGAGGAGGAGGAGCGGAAGCTGTGAGCACACACAGAGTGGGAGCACGGCCTCCCAGGGAGTCAGAGAGGCCTCCCCAAAGAGGTGACTTCCAGCTGAGGCCGGGGAATGAGGAGCAGTTGTCCAGTGAGGGGTGGAGGAGGTGGGCGGGGAACAGGGCACCGTGCATTTGTCTTCTATCACTGCATGACAAGCTTCGGGCTCAAACCAACACATACCGTACTTTGTGGTTCCTGGGGATCCGAGTGCAGCCCAGCAGCTCCTGGGTTCAGATCCCCCGAGGCTGCAGTGGGGAAGAACCCTTTCCGGCTCACTCAGGTTGGACAGAAATCATTTGCTGCTGCTGCATGAGGGGGCCTCTGGTTTCTTGCTGGCTGGAGGCTGCCCACAGGGCTCCTCCAATAAGGCAGCCTGCTTCACTGTACCAGCTCGGAGGACCCCCCCCCCGGTGCCAAGGGCAACCACAGGAGCGACCCCCTGACCTCTGTGCCATTGCACGGGAGGGAGGTGACCGCACAAGGGGGGACGCCAGGGGCTGGGGGGAGTAGGAATCACCTGAGGGCAGTCTGAGTGACGGGTCGGGCTGCACTGGAGGACCGAGGGCCAGCGGGAATGGAGGGCATAGTGAGAGCGATGCAGGGAGGACTCAGAGCCTGCCCAGCCCTGAGGGGCTCTCAGGACGCTGGGAAAGCAGAGGGAAGCCCTGGGGGACATGATCACATTTTAAGAAGACAGCTGCTGGGCCACGGATCTAGCTCAGTGGTTCCGCCGCCTGCCTCGAAATCCTAAGGACCCGAGTTCCATCCCCAGTACCAAAAAAACAAAACAAAAAAAAGACAGCCGCTTCTCCATGTATCACATGATCCTCTGATGAAGGTCATTCCAAGAACATGTTCACTGACACCTCCACGGAAGGGAGCCAGGCGGCCAGGGGCAGCAGGGAGGGCGACTTTGGGACTTTCTGAACCTGAGCCATATGAATGGGTGGACTGTGGTCGAGAAACAGATTCATGCCTATTTTAAAGATGGCAACATGAAGAAAAGATTGGGAGGTGACCAGGGCAGCTGCAGGGAGACGGATTAGGTGTCAAGTAAAAGCAGGAGGTTCTCAGCCGTTCCAGAAAGACGGAGCATTGAGCGTGTTCAAGGTCAAGCAGGAGCCTGGCTGCCACTGGCCCTCTCCCTGAAGACCTCCAGGACTCGCCCCGTTTCCTAGCCCTCCTTTACCCTGAGGGATGTGAGCTGAAGCCCTGGCTGCACTCTGATCTCAAGCACTTGACTGTCCCTAAGCACTATCCAATGGGTTTCTGCCCTGCGCCACCACCTCCTCTCCACGATTCCAAAGCAAACTGCTAATCTCTTTCTCTAATGCATGTGATAGTCACTTCAAAAAAACTCTTCAAAGAGATTCCATTAGACAAAAAAAGCAAAAACAAAACCAGCAGATTTAACTACAGAATTCTGATGGGTTATGATTGCATTCTTTTTCCCGGAACGCTACTCCCTGCCTTCTTTTTTGTGCTCTAAATTACCAATTCCAGTCCCTGTGTAGCTAAATAATAATAATTACCATATAAATGAATATGCATATGTGTCATTTTTCTCCCTAAAAGCAAGAAAGCCTGTTTATTTTGGATGACGGTTTGTTTGGCTTTTGAACAACCAAAGCACATAATTAGAAGGCTCACCTCTCACTCTGAAACCTTGTCTCCACTGGGAAGAGATGAAAAGGGTTCTGGATGCCCCTCGAAGGTTCGAAGAAATTTTAAAACAAATTGAAGGAGCTATTTCTTTCCTCTGTAGGTAACACTAGCTTGGACATGATCGGAATCACAGGCCTGCGCAGCTGGGAGGGACTTCGGCGCTCAAGCCCAGCCCCACTGTTTTGGAGAGGGGAAAACTGAGGCCTAAGGCAGGGAAGCTGCCCCCAGGCATGCTGCCCCACTGCCCACGCCTCCATGTGGCATGGCTTCTGTGGCCCTCGAAGCAAGAACAACACGCTGCATTTGCATCTGGGTTCTGAGACTGCTGTGGAACCCTTGGCAAGGTCCACAGCCTCTGGAAGCCCCAGATTCTGCACGTGTGAGACAGGGGAGGGGACAGTGGCCTCCACAGGGCATGGAGAGTCTGGAGAAGGCACTGGACGCAGGGTCAGCCCCAGCCTGTGACACACGCTCCAGGCCGACCAACCATGCCCGCCAACAGGAAGATGACCACAGCCTCTTCCTGCAGGGCAGGTGCCCTGCAGTGAGATGTAGCCAGACGATTGCCACCACCATCAAAATAATCATGGTAATAAGTGTCATAAATATTAATATGGTCAATGGGATTAATTATAACACAATATGATCATAGATAGTAAGTCCCCGACTACACGTTCAAGTCATGAATTTTCACACGGGTGCTGTTGGCTTACAAACAAATCCAATTTACCAACAATTCTCCAAGAACGGTTAGCAAGTGCTCTGCCACTGAGCTACAACCCCAGCCCAACTCTCTCAGAACGGCACTCGTTTGGAAGTTGTGGACTTACAGTATGGTGTGATACAATGTCGATTATAATATAATTAAGGCTATTGAGAGTACTAACAATTAATGATGCCATATTGTGATGGTTGTCTAGCTGTCAGCACGGACTCGAGATGCCCGGTCTCTGCCTGTACCACAGGTGCATTATACCAAGAAGTGGTGCAGATCCAGCTTTTAAATAAGCTCAACAAGCACTTTTAGAAGTTAGATTCGTGTTCCAGGGATTCTTCTAGATCACCACCCAGGGCGAGCTTGGGAAATCTGCTGAAAGTGGAGAGAAACCATCCCTTAGTGATAGACTGCTATTAGGGAAAAAGAAATCTTAAGAGAAAAAGCAGCCCAGGCCAGCTGGATCCTGTGTCTAAGCCATGGGGCATTTCTGCAGTTTTGGAAGGGAAAAATACAGACAGCTGAGCTCAAGGGGCCGTCCGAACCCGGGATGCAAAGACCACAGGCAGCCCAGGCCAGAGCATGGCTCTGTACTCAGACTGAGTGGGATGGCGTATGCTGAGTGGGGCAGGGTGGTGAAGAGGCCACTGACTCAGCAGCAGGGTTCTGCGCCTCCAGGCTAAGAAGGCTGAAACTCTGAGGCTTGCTCTGCAGTGTCCAGGGTCACTGAGGATGGACGGCACCCCACCTTGTTACGGGGTCAGGCCTGAGGAGGGGGCCACAGAGCACCCCACAGCCATGTCCTCTCAGGCTGCAACTGCCTGGCCAGCCAGCACTACCCCTGCAGTGCCCTCCCCAGCTGCTCCCTTGTTTTTGTAATAAAGTTTATTAGCACGCAACCTCATCTTTTCAATTACACACTGTAGCTGCTCTTGCACGTGCCACAGCCAGCAGTCGCAGCAGAGCACCCAGGGCCTCCCAGGCCTGACCAGAGCCTGGGCAGAAGACAGTCAGCAGGCTGGGAGCAACCGGGGCATCAGAGGAAGACCCACTGTTCAGACCCCATGCGCAGTGGCGTCTCTATGATCCTCTCGTGATTCAGACACCATGCAGAGCAAGCTACTCACTCGCCAACACACTGGAGAGATTCCTGGCGATCTTGCCAGACCCTAGGCCTCCCGATGTTGAGAGACAGGGAGCTGGACATAGGGCACACCTGCAATCCCGGCTACTAGGAAGGCAGAGGTGGGAGAGTTGCAAGTGCCATGCAGCCTGGGGCAACTCAGTGAGACTGGCAAAGAAAGAAACAGAAAGGGCTGGGTGTGGGCAGCAGCTGGCGCCCTCTGGTGTTCCTCCTCAGTACTGCAGGGGGCCACACGCCTGCATACGTGTGCACATGTGTGTCACCCCCCACTCAAGCACACCCACCTTGTCTCTCCCACTAAAAGCAGCAGCCTGCTGTGGATCTGCAGAACACATGGGAAGCTGTTTGAGGGTTCAGAAAAGTATACGGAGCGGGAGGACTGGGGAGGGAGACAGAATTCTAACTACAGTACCCCACACCAGCGTCCCTGGGGGACCCATGAGTTTCTTCTGTTTCCTCCACTCCAGACCCCAGGCTCCCCTTCGCCACTACAGTAGCACAGCAGGGACAATGGGCACCTGAGGTGCCAGAACTCCGAGGTGGGCACCCTTCCTCTTTGGTCCTGAGAGAACTGAGCAGTGCTCTGTGAATTCTTCCCCTCTGTCCTCCTGCTGCCAGTCCTGGTCACAGTGCAGTTCCAGGAAGCATGGGGCAGAGGAGGATAAGTAAAATCCCAGCTTCCTAGCCAAGGACCCAAAGGAACCGAGAGGGGTCTAAAAGGGGGAAGTTACAGGGAGAGCCCAGGGAGAGAACCTCGGAAAGCAATGGTGTTAGGCAACTTCTCCAGAGGCTCCTGTTTGTCTGCTTTACCTTCTCTATTTACCTCTGGTCTTCTCCACCCTCAGAGAGGAACTCACATCCCCTCATGCCCCCAGCGGTCCTGGTTAGGGGCCACCCACCCTGTGGGCACCTGGCAGGGTCTTACCCTCCTGACACAGTCCTCTTCCATCAGGCGCTCCTGAACCAGCTGGATGAGCAGTGAGTCAGGGACTTTCTAAAGGAAAGACAACACAGGGCATGAGACCCTGCTCGCACCTGGGAGCTCAGACAGGCACAAGGCTGGCAGCAGAGCTGACTGGGCCCTCCAGCCTGGCCTCCTCACATGCAGCACACCCGGAGAGGGGACAGGGCACCTGCAGAGAAGGGGGGACAGAGGGGACACGGCTCACAGTGGCTCAGCTCTGCAGGCTCAGATCGCCTGGCTTCTGCGGAGGGAGGCTGCTTCCCGTCCTGCTCTCCTTGTGCTGTGGTTTCTACCTAGATGTCCTGCAAAGCCTCATGTGTGGATAGGCAGGGCTCTTGGAAGGTGACTGGATCATGGGGGCTTAGAGCTGCCTTGGTGTTGGGAGGCGGGGCCTGGGTGAAAGAGGTGGTCACTGGGGTAGGACTGGGAAGGGTTCACTCCTGTCTCTGGGGCCTCCCTTCTCTCTCTGCTTCCTGTCCACCATGCCACAAGCAGCTCTCCTCCCCCAGGCCCCTCTGCCATGTCACCCTGCCTTGGAGCTAGCTGGCCATGGACTGACAAGATGAGCCAGAATAAACCTCTTCTCTCAGGTGTGGGCTCAGGTATTTTGTCCCAGCAATGATGAAACTGACTGAGACACTGCATGTAGGTGTACAAGGGTGGAGGCGAAAGGTGTCCTTGGAGCCTGTGGTGTTCAGGGCAGCTGGCCCTGGAGGCTTGAGGACCTGCTGCAGGAGGCCTCAATGCCATAAGCCCAGCCCCAGAGGCCCCAAAGGGTCAGCTGCAGTACTGTGGGCTCAGACACTGGGTCCTGGCTGCCCACTGAGCCACCTTGGACAAGTGGGCCTCATTCTCTTGGCGTCAGTTTCCCCATCTGTAAATGAGATGAATAGAATGTGCTTCATAGAGCAGTGAGGATTAAAGGAGCTCATGTGTGGAGCATGGCTGGGAGGGGCCCACACTCAGTGAGGGTTCAGTGTGGGGGCAGCTGTCACTGTGTACACCCTCAAGGCACCCCACATCCTCTCCTTTGGTGCAGGACTAGCAGGAAGCAGCTCTGCCCCAGAAACCACCCCTGGCCTGCCTCTGTCTCCTCTAACTGTAACACACACCAGGGCCCCAAATCTGCCACCTGCCCCAACCACATCCCTGTCAGGGGACAGAGAAAATAAAACACCTTCCACACACTAAGGCCTGGAGGTGGGAATATGGGGCTTCCCCGTACAGCCTTTCTTATGTGGACCAGAGATTCATCCTCAGCACTAGGGCTCCTCCCTCTTGGCTACATAATAGCTGCTGCAGCTCCAGCCAGCTGAGTGACCTCAGGCTTCTTGGCCTCGTTAGGCCTCATCAACCTTTCCAGTAGAAATCAGCAACAATACTGTATTTTTTGTTTCGCTTTTGCTTTTTTTTCTCTGTACCCACTTCCAGTAACACATCTCCCCAAATTTCCTTTGAGGAGTCATCCTCTTGCCCTTCCACCTGTATGCTTTAGTTAGGGTCAACCCAACCTTCAGATCCAGAAGAGGGCCCAGATTGGCCCAAATTGCTTAGCAGTATATTCTACCCCTCACCACTGTGATTTATTCAAAAGCTGCCTCTTGACACCATTCTGACCAGTTTTCATTTTTAAACTCAAGGTCAGTGCAATCATAAAGGGATGGAATCCTTGCTTTGTACCAGATCAGAAGCTGAGTGACTGTAAGAGCTGGAGCTGCAGCAGCCACTTTGCAGGCATGAGAGATGAAAGAAAATAAAAAACAGACTCAACTCCAGAATGGCTTTTCCTGGGATGTGGAATTAGAAGAAAAGGAGCAGACAACGAGAGAGCGAGGGAGGGCATCTCAACTGGGGATCAGACTTATAATAAGTTCACTTGAAAGTTACAGGACCACCATGGTTTCTATAAAATAGACAACAAAGCTAAAGAGTAAAAACAAGGAGAAAAGGAGGGAATGATCCACAGAGAGCACCGGAGGGGTAAGAAAGAGGCCCACAACATCCTGCCCCTGGTGCCAACACCTCCTGAGGCCCCTCTGTGACCTTACAACATCGCCACCACCATCCCTGTACTTCTTGCTTTGGCTGGTGGCCTCCCCTGGGAGTTCTGACTCTCGGTCTAGGGCAGAGCTGAGCATCTGCATTTCTAACACTCTCTCAAGTGGTGTGACTTCCGCAGGCACGGGGACCCACCTGAGAGCCCTGGGCGTGAGCCAACCCAGGCACCCTGGCCCGTCTGCAGAGGGTGTCTTCCGGCGGTGCCCTCCCAGTGCCCAGGTGCCCCGGGAGCTTCCCAAGGCTGGCAAGGAGGGGGGGTGACAGGAAGCAGCCCTGCCTCTCCCCAGCCCTCCTTTCCTGTCCCCTGATGTCCCTTATATCCCCAGGCAGAGCTGTTTTCCACCCGAGGCCCTGTTCCCAAGACCCATCTTCCCTCGGTGACAACACCCAGTGGGGAAGCAGCATTCAAACAGGTCCAGGGATGCAGGGGGTGCCGGGCAGGGAGGGGGGACAACAGTCAAAGAACACGAGTTGAAAGGTGGCAGCTCGGGTGGGGCTCGGCACCCCTGCAGCCCGAGCGGCAGGGGACAGGCTTGTGGCTTTAAGCGAGGCCATCACGAGCGCCTCCCCGCCGCTCCCTGCCACTGTGCTGTCTTGGTGCTGGCTTTGATGTGTCATGTCAGTGTGGGGCTTTGGGCTGCATCTCCAGGCCCTGCCAAGGTAGCTTAGCAGGGATCCGCTGCCTCCTCCTCCTCGCTGAGCTCTGCCATGTTTTCCCACCCAGCCCTCTGCCAAAGCCTGGCTTTCCAGGGGGCGTTGGGGACAGGCGGATGGGGCCAGGGAGACCACTGCTGCGCACAACAAGGCCCAGCCCCAGGTACAAGTCCTGGCCCTGGCTCCCTGCCGGAGGCCCCCAGCACCCACCCTGCATCCTTGCTGGGTGACTGGCTGTTCAGGGGCCCCACCCATGGTTCCGTGTGTGGCTCTGCCCCCACCCCGGGGTCTCCGAACTTCACTCTGCGGTGACCTGAGCCTGTACTGCCCAGCACCGGGCCCTGCCCTCGGGGACCCCTTGACCTCGTGTCCCCTTGATCCACGGTACAGACTTCTCCTCCCCTAAGGCTGCCAGGAGCCCTTCAATGACAACCCACACTATCAACACAGGCAAGGAGCTGGCAGGAACCAGCTCCTGGGGTCTGGGAGGCAGAGGCAGGAGGTTTCGGGGACCGGAGAGAGGCCTGGGAAGAAGGGAGCAGAGGGGGCAGCCAGGAGAGAGGCCCTAGGAAGGACTCAGCTGTGGGATGATAAGGCTGCTTCTTATGTCTCACTAGCCTTCCAAGCTCAGGTCATTTATTCATTCAACAAATAGGCTGTTCTGCTCTGACGCAACATTTGATTCCAGCGTTTGAGTCCCCTGACTGTGTCATGAGTGCTAACTGCAATGAGCTGGCTGGGGTCTCTGCTGGCAGGGCTTGGAATTCCCTGGGGAGTGTTTCCAGTGCTGCTGCCGGGCCCTGCTCCTGGGATTTGCACTAAAGGAGCAGAGGGGGCCGCTGAGTCTCACGTGTCTCAAGGGCCGAGCGCCTCTGGGCGAGGTGGCTTCCAGTCTGCAAGCACGAACACTTCCACAGCTGGACCCTCACGTCCACACAGGCCTGGGACCCTCACTGGTCCTCGCCTGCTCCCCCACCAGGGCTCAGCTCGCCCGGGCCTGTGCTGGCATCTGTGATGGTCTCCCCCCTCGGCGGGGAGACAGGGACTCCGGGAGGGGAGGTGCTGGCAGCCGTGCCATCCACAGTGTCCGTACAGGGACTGGAGTCACGCTGATGCTCGCTTCAGCAGCCTTCATCCTGTTCAGGGGCCACGAGACCTCCAGGAAGAGCCATGATATCAGCATCTCAACCAAGTCATGCAGGGCGAAGAGCCAGTCTCCAGCCAGGGACCTCGGTCTCAGCCGGCCAGCCACAGCCAGCGTCATCAGCGTCGTCGTCTTCATCGTCATCATCATCATCATCATCATCATCATCGCTGAGGCTCTGACCCAGAGAAGCAGGTGGGTTGGACGTGGGCTGAGAGAGGAGGCTGGGAACAGTGCTGCCACGGGAGACACCAGTCACCCTGTGGGGCCCAGGCCCAGGGCCACAAGACAGCTGTCTCCAGACTTCACCCTCCCCAGGCACTTCCGGAGCACCGGGGAGCCTTTGAGGTCTGCATTGTGCGCCTCTCTCTGGGGTGTGCAGACAGACTCGATGTCCAGACGAGACACGGGCCAGAGTCAGAGCTGGCGCTCGCGCTGGCGAGGGAGGGAGGCAGGCAGAGGCTGGGGACGCCTCTAAGGGCAAAAGGAGCGGTGCTGTGGCAACAGCTCACTAGAGGTGCGCAGCTTCCTCCACAGACTGAGGAAGCCTCGGCTGGTCCTCAGCTGGCAGCAGGGACAAAAGTTAAGGAAGCTGGAAGTGATGGATCCAGTCCTGGCCGTGTTGGACAGATGGCCACGGGATTATTATCTGGCCTCCTGGAGTGTCCGAGGGGTTGGTCTGGTTTCCTGTGGGTCTGACATGGCAGGCGGTTTCCTGGGCTGAGACTGTGGGTGACCGATTGGTTTCCTGGGCTGGCTGCTAGGGCTTGCAGTGAGTTACTGTGGTAACTCACGTGGTCCAGCCATCGTCCATTTGTGTTCTCAGTGCCTGGGGAGCTATGGACTGACACCTCTGTGGATGAAATGAATCGCAGTCTGCATTTGCTTTGAGGTCACTGGGCAGGAGAGCAGGAGAGCAGGGGAGGGTAAAAGGTGAGGCTAGATGGCATGAGTTCACATGGGTGCAGCCAGCTGCTGGGCTGTGGGGGTTCCCATGGAGTCTCGCTGCCACTGAAGAGCTTTTCGACATTTCATAATAAAGAGTGAAAAGGAAGCTGTTTCTAGTCCGCAGCACCCTGAGGAGGTGACCCCGCCCCTTTGGGGTCCGTGACGCTTGCTGTCTTATAATGTCACCCTCGCAGCCTCCAGGATAGCTCTCCGTGGAGTGACCGCCAGGGCGGCTCTGTGGAGCCATACAGCAGGTGCACTGCTCCCTGCCCAAGCCAGGACCAAGGACTTCATCAGCATTTGGAACCAATCGAAATGAGTTAGTAAATGAAGCCACCGGTGAACAAACTGAAGGAGGCCTTGCCAGGGCCCGAGTCTAGCCCGGGGTTGGTTTTAGGGTGCTGCTGGTCTTGCATTGGCTTGCTGTACAGTGGGTGCTTAGAAGGACCTCAGAAACCACCTGGAAATGCCTGAGACTTGGTGAACACCAGCAACATAAGAGAACTCTGCTCAGGAAGGCAGAGCCAACATAAGAAGGAGAAAATCAAGCATTTGAAGGTATTAAAAGTGCTTGCACATGGAGCCATAAAGACTCAAATAAGCAGACAATTTGAAGACAGTGTTTAATGAGAGGCCTGGCCCGGCCAGGCAGGCGGCCGTCTACAGACAGGCGGCTCAGCCTGGCCGACACACGCCCACCTCAGCTCTGCAGAACCATCACCTCCTTGATTAGGCCGAATCCTAGCCTTTCATCTTCCCTCCACCCAGGTATCTGAGCCAGTAACCCCAACAAGGCACCCTGGAAACACATGAATGTGGTCTGAAATATGCTGGTAATTAGCGTAATGAAGCCCAGGAGGAATTTCTTAACTCCACCTCTCAGCTGAATTTCATGAACCCAATAAGGCATCTCCAGCCTGGAAATGAGCCTGCCTTGCCCACCCAGAGAAGCAGGAACTGGGGAGACCACTTTCCTACACCACGGGGTCCCCAGAGTTGTGACCACAGCTCTGACTTCCACAAGACCATGGGGGCAGTGGCTGACCTCGAGGAGGGAGGGCCGGCCTGTCTGTCAAGTGCTGGTCATCATAGGTGCACTCCGGGCTGGGATCCACCTAAGTCGTCCCCTTGTCTCTGGGAATAACCTTGGCCAGGCCGGGGCCATCGAGTGGCCTCAGCACACCCCTACCCGAGCCGACCGCACCGGGGACACCCGACCAAGAGCACAGGCAAGAAAGACAGGAAGAGGATGAGGAGGGAACTGAGAAGGCGGAGATGAGAGACAAACCCACCCAGAGAGGCCCTGTCGCCCTTCAGGTCCCCTCCCTGCTCTGGGCGCCCCAGGTGCACTCCACTATGCTGTCCTGCAGCCACCATTCACGGCTGCCCACAAGGCCTGGAAACTCACTTCCAAGTTGTTTGAGGAACACCAAAGGCACTACTGACACGAGCGCCCACTGAGGCGCTGCTCAGCCTGAATCTGCACTGTTGTGAGGGGCAGGGCGCAGTCTTTGGCACCGTGGGTGACGAAGGATTAAGTTTGGCTGGAAGGTGCCGTCAGCTGTCCGGTGGCACAAGTGTGGCACAGCTGGCTGGGTCTGGTGGCACGTGGCTTGTCACAGGCCTGTACAGGACCCCATGCTCTGAGGTGGCAGCAACAGAAGGGCCGAGGGGCCCAGCTGTGGCCTGTGTGGCAGACAGCATCAGCCTAAACCTAGACGCACCCAGAGGCGCCTGGCACACACAGTGCACAGTTCACACCAAGGTCCCTACTGTCCTGTCCTCAGCGGTGTCTCCCCACAAACAGAAGAAGCCTAGGTCTCGGGGAGAACGCTGAAAGGGCACATCCCTGCTGCAGGCGCCAAAGGGAATCTGAGGAAATACTTTGGGTTTCTGTGCGTAGTAAAAAGAAACAGCATATCTGGATGTGTGGTGCAGGCCTGTAGTCTCAGCACTCTGGGAGGCTGAGGCAGGGGGACCCTGAGTTCAAGGGCAGCCTGGGCAGTTGTCAACTTAGTGAGACCCTGTCTCAAGATAAAAAAAGGGATGGGATGTAGCTCAATGTGAAGGCTGTGGGTTCGATCTCAAGTGCTATCAAAAATAAATAAATAAATAAATACATACATAATAAATAGAAACAATGTGCTCAAGCCTATGTTTCCCCTTAACAGATGTTCTGCAAGCTCAGAGCTGGTGGGGGTTTGGAAACAGCACCCTCAGCCCTCCTGGATGCTACCCTAGGTGGGTGGGAGGGCCGGGCGGACAGGCACCGAGCAGTGGCGGGGGAACTTAGGCCTCCCTAGGGCCTGTTGCTGGGCTGTCCAGGCTGGAGGCAGCTGGGCGACAGCCCTTTATGCTCCCAGCCCAGCTCAGCGCCCCAGGGCCACCGCTGTGGGGTGGAGACCTCCACTCATCTCCGCCCCTTTACTTAGCTGACCCTGAGAAGAAAAGGAGCCACCTGGACCAGAGGACTCCACTGGGAGAAGGCAGTGCCTGGGCCCAGCACTGCACCCTCTCCTTCCTTCTATCTCACCCACCTGTAACTGAGCTCACCCTGGCCTCTCCCCCAGCTTCATGTGGAAGGAAACGGAAATGAGCCAAGCAAGCAGAGGGGTCGTGAGCGAGTGTGGTGGGAGTATGGGAAGCAGGTTCACTGTCCCGCCCTGAGCCCACGGCCAGTCCTACCTTGAATCTCTGGTACTGCTTTCTGGCTTCCTCAGCCACAGAGGAGAATTCTTTTCCTAGTAAGGTCCCCCTGGTGAGGAGATTCGTGTTCAGGTGTTTGCAGAGCCACATGGCCTGAAGAAGGGGAGTCGAGAGGGAAATCTGAGTGAAGATGGAGAATCTATTACCACTAACTCTGTCCAACGCCCAGGTCGACTGGCAAAGGCTGGCTGCAGGGAGCATTTCCTCTCCCGGCCCTGTCGGCTGCAGCAGGCTGGAAGCTGCCCCCCCATCCCCCGGCTGCCTCCTGAAGCTCTGTGCACTGAGAGATTTTCATCTAAGGAAGGTTTACACCAGGCAAGGCAGGGACGGTACATATGGTTGTAGTCCATACTCACAGTTCATTTTTTTGGGTTTTTTTGGTACCGGGGATCAAACTCGGGTCCTTGAGCTTGTGAGACAGGCGGCATAACCACTGAGCTAAATCCCCGGCCCCTCATTTTTTTTCTTAAGCACTGGGGTGGACATATCCTGGTGAACTATATGCTTAGTTCATTGATGACTACTGTGCAGGTGAAGAATGAACTGTAAGGAATAACAAGGCACTAAAGCGTTCTCAGCATTGAAATGGTGCTGGTGAGCATTTCAGCACCAGGATGATTCTGAGGCCCTGTAGGTTCCCTGGGCTGGGGTGACCCTAACTCTCCCTGTTCCTCGTGCTGGGGCACATCAGAGTTTACTATGTATCACCTTTCATTACTGGTGCGGCTGCCGGGGCCTGGCCCATGAGGGAGACAAAGTCAGTGGCTCTGGTCATTCTGGGACTCAAGATAAGAGGGTCTTTGTACGCTGAACCTGCTCTGCTAGCAAACTGCCCCTAACAGTCAGAGAAGGGCCAGAACCAGCAATGCCACAAAGCCGGCCCTGAGGGGCACAAGGCAGGAGCCCTCTGCCGGGTGGGCCATGGTAGTGCACACCCGTCATGCCAGCACTCTGGGAGGCAGAGGCAGGGGGATCCCAAGTTTTAGCCCAGCTTGGGCCATTTAGCAGCTTACTGAGACACTGTCTCACAATTAAAAATTTAGGCCCAGGGATTTAGCTCAGTGGTTTTGCTGCCTGCTGCGCAAGCACAAGGACCTGAGTTTGATCCTGGGTACCAAAAACAAAAAAATTTAAAAAGGGCTAGGGATATAGCTCAGTGTGAAGGCCTCGGGTTCAATCTCCAGTATTAAAAAATAATAAAAATAAATAAAAACGCCCTTTAACAAAACGAGACCCTCATCCTGAGCAGCCAGGCTCTTCCTGAAAACACAGCTCGGTAAATTAATCCATCACTTGACTAAATGCATCCTGTCTTCTGTGGTCCCCAAGGCAGAATCGCCTGGGGAGCCTTTTCCCACCAGTTTTCTGGGGGCCATCCCAGCAGATTCTGATGAGGTCCTCTGCCGCTGGGGTCCAGACCTGCATTTGTCAGAGCACCCAGCAATGTGAATGTCTGGGAGCCCCTGGTCTCCAACTGTGAGGCAGTGAAGTTAGATTCGGGGTGCTGGCTGCAGAAAGGAGTAGAAGCTGCCAGCCTGGCAGTGAGGAACCCAACAGAAAACCTAGAGGGACAGATGGACAGAAGACTGGATGGACGGAAGGACAGATGGATGACAGATAAAAAGCGCAGGGCTAACTCAGACAGCATAGCAAGTGGGGGCCGTTCTGAGCAAGAATCGGCCACGGTTTCTGTGCTTTTCTGATTAACTGAAATATTTCATAATTAAAAATCTAAGATTGAATCTTAGCGTCCCAGACCGAACATCTCTGAAATGTGTGTGCTGTTAGGCCCTCCCCTCCCACCCCTTCCTAGAAATGTGGATATAACTCCCAGCCTGCAAGGATCACACTCCTGTAGGTAGGGGAATGCTCGGGAAGGGCATCCCAAAGTGTTGAAGGAATCCTTTTCTCTTGTGATTGGAGAATTGCATTTTTGCTTTTCCTATTTCTTAGGTTTTTACTATGAACACATGCTGCCTTTTGTAATAAGAAAGTAAGAAGGAAGAGAAAAGGAGAGGAGAAGAACAGCCCGGTGAGCCGACCGCTCATGGAGGGGCAGGCTCCTGCCCGCCGGAGCAGAGGCAGAATATTACAGCTTTACGACACCTAATATCGTGCACTTACGATAGTTGTTTTCCCCGAGGCGGGTGGACCTAATATTATGATCTTCGGCACTGCGGAATAAAAAGATTTGAATGTCACCATTCAGTAAGACAAAGCAGCCTCCTATGTCTGCCGTACTCTGGGTGTATTTATTTCTCTCCTCCCCAGATTTCATTTCTGCTGGTGACACGGCCATTTGTCACCCAGCAGCTGGGACCCTAGCGCCATACAGCGCGGTCTGTGTTGGAAGAGGTAAGCGATCACCAAGATGGTTTATTTGTCTGTCTCCATGGGGACACAGACACGGTAACTTGTTTGCCAAACTAATAAATATCGGGAACAATTGGGATTCAAATACCATAAAGTATTTTAAACAGAGACTTTGTCTCAGGGATACTCTCTCAAATAAAGTTGTATTTTATGTAAATTGACCTGCAAAGCTTTTTTTTTTAATATTTATGCCTGTTTATTTAGCAAATTGGATCACCCCCATTATTTCACAGAGCAAAATAACAGGAAAAAAAAGTCAGATTTATAAAACCCAAGATATGAAAGTCTTTGTTTTCGAATATGGGCATTTCTATGCAAATGGAAAAAAAACCTGGTTGATTTGTGGCTATAGTCCCAGCTCTGGAATGGTTTTGGCCCCTGCAGAATTCCTAACGCAGCAGCGACCAGTCCGTGGCGATGCTGTTGACAGGAAAAAGCACAAGTGGACGCACGAGCCAGAGGGCACAGCGCTGGGGTCAGAAAGGAGGAAGCAGGACAGTGTCTGGACACAGTGCTGGGGTGACCGCGTGCTGAGTGCCGTGACACCGGGCGCCTCCCTCCCTGCTCTTGGCGAAAGCGCCCTCAGCCTGGCCCTGCTCTGAGGGGATCTGCAAATGCTCGGCACGTCCATGCCCTGCTTGGCTGCTTAGGTTTAGATAGAGCTTTGTCCAAAATCCGTGGCATTTTGTCCTGCTCAGGGAAACACTGAAGAGTTCAAGATGACACCCCCTCCACTCCACACACACTCGCAGAGCTCCCCATCTGCGATCCCTCCAGGCTGGAAGCTGCCAGGCAAAGCGGGATGGGCCACAGGCCCCTGTAGCAGGCGAGCAAGGTCAGTGACGGGATGAGCCCGGGAAGTGAGCAGATCCTCGGGCCCGGCTCAGTGACTCCCGCCACCCTCAGGGCAGGAGCTCCAGGAGGAGGGCTGGGTGTCCTCACTGCCCTGCCTGCCGGGGCCAGGTCAGGCTGGGGCCACAGCATCACCCGGGACCCCACACACTCCCCTGCTGGGTAGAGATGCCCTGGACTTTCTCACCTTTCCTGGAGTGTCCGCCCTGCTCCTCTCCTGTCACCTGTCAGTCCCCATCAGGAAAGTCCTCCTTGCCCAAGCCACCCGGCAGCCACCCAGGCTCACTGTCTCTTCCTTCCCTGGGTCTGAGCTGGCTCCCGAGTGGGGCTCTCCACCTTCTGCCTGGTGAATCTCACCCTACCGCAAAGAAGCGGCCGCTCTGCTGTCCCCCGTGAACAGGCCTCATCCCCAAGGCAGCCAGAACCAAGGAGCCGCTGCCCAGCAGCACCGGTGGCGGCCTCCTCGGCTGTCCCTATCTCTTTCTGTAGTCACGGAGCACCTGTCACGCTGGTCACCACGACACCACCTCACAAAGGGCATTCTCAGAACAAGGAGAGGGGTCGGCACGGCTGAGCCAAAGGCCAGTGTGGATCACAGAGTCCCGCACAGACTGAGAGCCAGACCCAGGGCCACCCCACCAGGATTGACAACCAAAGTGAGGCCACCAAATGAGGAAAGGGCACAGCTCCGCTGGCACCAGACACTGCAGCCTGTGTCCACCATGCTGGGACACGTGTATGGATCCCAGAGCTGCCAGCAGCCGCCCTGCCACTGCCACCCAGGAACCTGGCCCTACGGATCTTGCAGGGCAAGGTTCACCTACGGAGGCAACTCGGGTTGCAGCCAGGCCTGTGCCATCACGGATGCTGGGGCGGGTGGGAGCCAGGTGGGGATTCAGGGTCATCATCTGCCCGGGCCTGGGAGCTGGGACCAGGCTTCCAGGGGCCTCCACCTGAGCAAGAGAAGCACAGCAGGTGGGAAACAGGCTTGTAGGCCGAGTGTGGAAACCAGGTGGTATAGGGGACACTCGGCCAGGTGGCTGGGGTGGCACAGTTTGGGAGGCAGCAGAGAGGGTGGTCAAAGGTAGGGAGGCCTTGTGCTGTGGAGTGGGGGCTCGCTCTGGCCTCAGGGGGAATACCTGCTTGGCCACAGTCAGGTCAGCAGGGTGGTGGGGACGCGGGGCTCAAAGGGGGCTCCACCCCAGGCCCTCTCTGTGTCTCGGAACCCAGCCAGGCCCAGCAGGCCTCAAGGTGGCGGAGCTCAAGAAGGGAGACATTTGGTGACTCAGGGCTTCTGGGATGGAGTCCGACTGCCAGCCGTTCACCTGGGCAGAATCATGGAGGTAAAGGTGGCAGGGGAAGCCCCCTCTTCCAGGTTCCGTAAGTAGCACCCAAATTGTACACATCTCTGAAAATACTTTGAAAGAGGAACATCTGCGGCCTTTCTCCCCACCTAATTTCTCTCTTGCACTCATTTATGTGATTAATTTCAGTTTCTTAAAATCTAACACCTTAAACTCCAGCCCGGCTCACAGTAATTATTTATAAACAGTGTCAGAAGAGGCTGCTTGATTGCCAAGAGTAATCAACGTCCTCCAACCACTTCAAAGGAAATCAAAGAACCTTTCCATCCACGGAGCCTTTTGAGGTTTAACCAGGAGCGTGATTTAAAATTCACAAGAAAACCCTTAGGTATTGGAGCTCTAATACACAGCTTTCCTGGACAAACGTTTGATAAGAAACGAAATACACCATTATAGCCACCACCGCCCGATTTAATATTGCCCAGGGCCACTGTAAATGCTCACTTTGTACTAAATCTGCTTTTTGCGCAGCGCAGGGGCTGCCAGCCCCAGTCTGGGGTTCCTCTGCTCCCTCCTGTGTGCACTCCAGCGTGGGATGAGGCTTCCTTCCCTCCTGCTCTACCCGTCACCGGCCAGGGTGCTGCGGGTCTGCATGACCCCGGGCCCAGGATGGAGGGGGTCAAGGTCCCAGCTCCAGCGAACTTGGGCCACCTGGAGGCTGGAAGGAGGCCTGGGATCTGCCAGGGGAGCCCTCGCTGGGCACTCCAGGCCTCCTGCCCCTCCCCCAACAGATAGTGTAAACGGAGGCGGCTTAAAAGCCAAGGCCACAAAGGCTGCCAGGGCCAGGAGAGGAGGTGGAGGTCATGGGGACAAATTCGTCTCTAAAACAATGGTTACGGGGACCCAAGGGAATTGCTCTCTGGACATCAGGGCTAAAAAACCTCCACTTTGGCCGGCCAGGGTCACACAGGAGCAGACAGGAGGCAGCCCACAGCTGGGAGCTGAGCAAGAGGGTCCGCACTCTCCTCCCCTGAGGGGAGGGACAAGGAAAGGCTCCATGAGGGCAGCCTGGAGAAAGTCAGCTCTGTGCCTGAGCCGGAGGAGGGGACGGAGTGCTGTCCGGTAGTTCCATTAAAAATGGCTCACGGTCAGAAGAATTCCAGGTCCTTTCTGCCTAGAACAAAGCATTGGACGGGACGAGGCAAAAACGGTGCCAAAGTTTATTTGAAAAATGTGAATGGGGTATGGGAAAAACTAGCTCTGCAGAGCTAATTGGGCTGAACAAATGAAAGGATAAAAGGAAAAATAAAAGTGCACCCTGGCAGGAGACGCAGGAAGGGCTCCCGGAGGACTCACGGGAGTGGGCAGCCCGAGACAGATGACTCGGCTCTTTTATGCTGCCCACATCTCCTGAGAGCCCGCGAGAAGTTCCAGGGCACCTGGGAGTTATTTGGTGCTGTCTGGGATCTTGTACCTGACAAGTCCCGCTCATTTCCCATGTCAGCTTTGCCAGCCCTATCTCCTGTCTCAAAAGGGACCATCACGGAGGGAGGGGACAGCTGTCCAGCAACATCAGCTGCACCACAGCCAAGCCAGACTGAGGATGTTCCAGCTTAACTATCTTAGTGCAGGCGGTGGTCCGACACTGAAACTGCCATCTGCAGACAGTAGCAAGGATGCAAAGTGAAGAGAAGATGGATTCTACTGCAAATTTCAGGCTCTTGAATTTCGAGGCTGGGGGCCTAGTGACGCCTGTGCTCCCAGCACTCAGGAGGCTGAGGCAGGAGGATCCACCACACATTCGGGGCCAGCCTGGGATAAACAGTGAGTTCAAGGCCAGCCTGGACTACATAGTGAGACCCTGTCTCGAAAAACCAACCAACCAACCAACCAAGAAATCAGTCAATCAATAGCAGGGCACATATGTCCCAGGCAGGATCTGCAGACCAATAGCAGAAAGAGGTAGTACAACCCCAAGTGTTCATCATCAAGCACAATTTATAATTTAGAAAAATCTGGGGGACAGATATGATCAAAATAGTATGCATGTATGAAAATACCACATCGGAACCAAGCATCTTGTGAAATCAATAGAAAGGATATTTAAATGCAACATTTTCATTAAGCTCTTCAGCAGAAAGCCCCACATCCCCTTTCAGGAGACCCCTGGCTCCCACAGGAGCATTAGGGGCTTGTCATTCCCTGGGCAGTCACTGACTGGCTACCCTGGAGCAGGCCAGGCCTCCGCGGCCTGCATTTCCGTCCACTGTACACACCCACCTTACAGATGAGGAGACTGAAGCCAAGAGAGGGCGCAGATCTCACTGTCCTGTCGCACGCACTCTGAAGCCCGAGGGCTGCGGCTCCAGTGTGGGCTCCAGGCCTGCTCCCTTCACTTCTACTTTGGCTTTGCTCATATTTCACTTTCTCCTTTCCTTTACAGGTACTTTTGCTTTTTTCGCTTTTTTGATTTCACTTTCCTCTGCTTCCCTGTATCTGTGGTGGTGGTGGCAGGAGAGAGTGAGCACTTCCTCCTGCACTTGGATCTTGAGTCTGCAGCAGTGAGGACTACTGGAGGGAAGGGGAGGATTAACACCTACCCTGCAGGGCAGGTTGGGGGCAGAAGCTCTCACCTGCGGCCGTAATAACAGATCCCTAAGGAGGATCACAGCTCTCCTCTCCTGCTTGTATCAGCTCTGAACGGACCTCAGTGGACCAGGAAATGCCCAACTCAGCCATTCCTGCCTAAGTGGAGACTCAGGAACGGGCACTGTTGGGCTCACCTTGAACCCCCTGTGTAGGTCCATGCAGTGGCCCTGGAACCGAAGCAGCCCCTCACTCCAGTGCACCAACGTCAGGCCCCAGATCCCCAGGACCTGTGTTAGCAGGGAGCTGGGTGCATCTACAGGTCTGCTGCCTCCTCCTTATCTTTTTCCTTTAAACAACTTGGTGTGAACCCCACCAGAGGGGATCTAAGGCCTCTACACCTCTGGGCCACACCAAGCACTAACTCTCTTGTGTGCAGGGAGTGCCCTAGAGCAGCTAATGTCCAGCAGAAGAAACATTGAAGCTCTGCCAGCTCACCCAGGACCAGAATGAGCCTCCACTTGGTAAATGACCCATCCTGGGATGGAGCGAAGGGCATTGCTGGCTGTGGTCCCCCCTTCTCCCACCCCTCTCCTCCCAGTTCAGTGCTCTGGCCCTGGGTCTGGCCAGTCTGCACAGGGCTGAGGTTTGGGGAGCTCTGGAACTCATTAGCAGGCACCGATAATGAGACCATCAGAAAAGCCCAAGTGCTTGCCTGTCGAGGTAGACCAGAAACCCAACTTATACCTGACAAGTGGAGTGATCAGAGGGCTTAAACCCAACAGGCGACATCAGCTAGGGCAGGCGGAAGCATTAATAATTGATTCTGTGGGCCATTCTGAGGTTTGCATTTTAATAACTTGGCGAGAGAATTTTTATTAGTTGTGCTCCAAAAGAAACGATGGCATTTTTCAATTAACCACTTCAAGTTGTCAACGCCCGTCCCTGCCCTGCTCTGACACAGGTCGGACAGAGGGTGGGGTAGGATCCTTGGAGAAAAAGAGGTGGGAGAGGGGAGGAGGATGAGGAAGGGAAGAGGAGAGGACCGTGAACAGGAAGCTCACCATGATCGTTGTCTCGATGCAAGTGCTCGATCATGAAGGGGATGGGATCCTGCGGCTGGTGGATCAGGAGCTGCTCCAGCATGCTCTGCGGACACAGGACAGGCACCCAGGTGGTGAGCACCTGCCCCTGGCTGCCTGCCGTGGATGCCAGCTCTAGGCCTGCCCCGTCTGCTGCACCCCACCAAAGATACCTTCCACCTGGGACCCAGCGCCCAGCACAGCTGGCGCCTGCTGGGGTCTCCACGAGCAGAGGGATGAGGGGCCATGCCCCTGGCTCACAGCAGGCATCCCCGAGGCCCTCTCCCTGGTCCCTTTGGTACTGCCCTCTGTCCACCTCCTGCGTCACCAACCCTCCCCTCGGCCTGGACTGCGTCTTCCTCATTCTTTTTCTGGCTAACCTCCCCTGGGTCTGTGGTCTCCATAGGAACGTGCCTTTCTGATCACCTGTATCAGGGAAATGGCCTATCTGTCCTGCGCCCTTGCACACCCCTGCTGTGTGCCCCTGCTCCTTGCTTTGCATTGTCCCTGCTTGCCCAAATGCCACCCTCCACCCCAAGCAAGTCAGGTTCCGTAGGCCTCACTGTCAGCCTGGACACCCTGGCACCGAGGGCCGACACAGTCATAGCAGGTGCCCAGAGCAGGACATGGCCATGGGACTGCCAGAGGGGCAGAAGATGACCACCCAAACTTTGAAGCAGTACTGGGATCTGGCCGTTTAACCTGACTGAGCACACCTATCAAGGGCAAGCAAGTGGGAAGGCACCAAGAGATGATGTGTTACACACATGCACCGGCTCCCCACAGTGAATGCGATCAGTACGTACTTGAAACATGGACTAGGTTTTTAAAAAGGGAAAGCAGCTGGCACAGGGATGGACTGAGTAGCTGAGAGGAGCTGGGATGGAGGGCAGAGGGAGCGTGGGGCAGAAAAAAGAACACTGGCCTGCAAGAAGTCCTAGTTCGGCCCCTCTCCACTCTCACCAGCAAGTCCCCTCCCTGTGAGGCCTCAGTTTCCCTGCCTGCTCAATGGCATGGCTGGAATAAATCCATGAGTGTCTGGTCATTTGAGAGATGCAGATGAAAAGAACACTGAGATTCCACCTCACTCCAGAAAGAATGGCTGCTATCAAGAAATGAGCCAATAACAAATGCTGGCGGGGCTGTGGGGAAAGAGGAACCCTGCTCCACTGCTGGTGGGATCTGGCCATTAGGAGTGTAGACTGGTGCAACCAAATGAACCAAATGGGGCCAAATGAAGCTAATTTTTATAAAGCGAGTTGATTCCAAGAAATGATTAAGTTCAAATGGAAGTGTGGTAGTGGTTATGTGAATCTCCACAGCTGATAAAATCCACAGGACTACAAAAACGAGTGCAGGTGAAAATGAATGAAATCCAAATAAGGCCTGAGGTCTAGATAATAGTATGTAAGCACATGGCTTTCCATCGCTTTCCCGGTTGTGAGGATGTACTCATGTTATGTCAGATGTCATCGCTGGAGGAACCTGGGAAATGGGGAGACCAGAACGCCACACTATTTCTGTAACCTCTGAGTCTAAAATTATTTAAAAATACAATGTGTTAAAAAATGGAGATAGAAGCCAGGTGTGGTAACACAAGCCTGTAATCCTGGCCCTGAGAAGCGGAGGCAGGAGGGTCATGGGGCCGAAGCCTGCCTGGGCTAGACAGCAAGTTCCAGGCCAGACTAAACTACACTGTGCGGGCCCAAACCCGGAATGGGAACACCCAAATGACAAAGGACCGGAAATAGGGCAGTCCCTCCATCGGTCACAGGAGAGGACACACCAGGTTCTCTACAGCAGACCACTACCCCTGGGAAGCCCTCCAGCCACCCCCCAGCTGGCCACTCCAGCAGTTTTAGGACTCTGTACAGTTGTCACTTTCCAAGGGAACCATATTGGCTGGTGGCTCTGGTCACAGCGTCACACAACACAGGTGGCTCCGGCAGGTGCCTCGGGATGGGGTGAACTGGGAGAAGCAGACCAAAATTCTGGAAACCGAGCTCCAACTTCTTTCCCCCTCAGAATTTAGGAGGCCAAGACTTCTTCCAGCCCAGTTCCCGAAAGCCTCAACCTCCAGCGGTTGCAGAAGGGAAAGGTGGGACACAGCCTGGGACCCAGGGGCTTTGGGGGCTGCCGGGACCGCCTGGCCGTGAGGAGGCGGGGCCGAGGGGAAAGTGTTGTGGGGATGCCACCGGCACTTCACAGGTGGCACCACCTCCTGGCCTGGCGGTAGGCAAGACCCGAGGGCGACTTCAGGTTCCCCTCCGGATCCGGGTGACACGGTGGGCTGCCTCGCCGCGCACCCCGACCCCGTGTGGAGGTGCCCCAGATCACCTGCATTAACTCGAAGATGTGGTTCGCCTCCCCATACTGGGGCATCTCTGCGGGGATGCGGTGAGGGGCCGAGGTCGCATCCATGTTGGCGACCTTTCGCCGCACGTTGGCAACCGGGTTGCTAGGGCGCCGCGCAGGCGCGTCATCAGCGTGCGACCCGGGCCCCCGCCCCGTCCCGGGCCCCGCCCCTGGGCGTGTCCTCCCCCGCTGGCCTCCCTGCCCAGCTGCGCCCCTCGGCCGGATCCCTTTCCAGCCCATCAGGTTGCTCCTGGCTGGGCTTCCAGGATCAGAGGGGCCCCTTGGGCAGAGATCCCCGACGACACTGCTTTCTGGGCCTCAGTTTTCCCTCAACTTTCAAATGAAGATGGTGAAATGGAGGCGCCCACCCTTTGGAGAGCGGCGTCCCAGGAAGGCGGGGCTACGGCTCAGGGGTGGGGCAGGGAGGCCACGTGACCCGGTTGCTATGGCACCGCGGTCACAATCAGGCCCAAGGCCCCCCTGAGGCGACCCCACCCCAGCCCTGGCGCCCCTCGTCCAGGTCCCCCCTCCAGGGCTCCAGTCACGCGGCTGCGGGCGCTCTGGGAGCCGAGGGCGTTGCAGGACGAGCGAGGGTAAAGAGGGGTGAGGACCCCAGAACGGGCAGCGGCTGCGAGGACGGCTGGGGCGAGGGGCTCCCGGAGCGGTGGGTGTGAACGCATCAGGCCCACTGTCGGTGTTCATCTTCCCAGCAGCCTGGTGAAACAGGCATCTGTTCCCATGGGTGAGACGGGAATTTGGAGATCAGAGGCTGAAGGTAGCTGGCTACCTCTTTCCTCCCCAGCTGTTGGTCACAGTCACGGAGCGTGAGAATCAGCAGGGCCCTGGCCCATTCTACAGATGTATAAACGGAGGCCCAGAAAGGGGAAGAGTCACGCTCAGGGTCACCCACTAAGTCAGAGGAGGCAGGGCTGGAACTAAGCGCCCAGACCCCAGCCCAGAGACACCCTGAATCACAAAGCCAGGGCCTGAGCCTTCCCCCAAACTGCTTCCTCAAAGCGCTCAAGCCCTGGACAGCATGTCAGACTCGACTGCAAAGGCAGCTGGGGACGAAAAGGAAACTGACTCCCCTGAACAGAAAACACAACTACCAAGCCTGCAATTTGCACCGGAGAGGTTTGGTTTGCTTTCTGGACATTTCTGAAATGACTTGCCTTTCTCCTCATTTATTTTAAGCCCTAGGCACTTTTCATACCATGATTTAATCTTCTTTAGCAGCCTAGGAAAATACAAATCAATTAAAGCCTAAAATCTATCGGGTAATCAGTTTTCCTCCTTCCTCCCCCACATGGAGAGGTGCCTGTACCCTTGTGCCTTTCATCCCCACTAATTTGGCGGCAGAGGCTTGCCTTCGAGGGCCGATCACTTTGGATAGCTTATTACAGCCTCTATCGTGACATTCCTGGTGTGCGTGTCACAAGTTGCTAGGATCAAGAACTGAGTCAGTTTTCCTCTTAGGGGCTCTTGGGGCCACCAGCCAAGGTAGCACTGTATCCTTGGAGAACTGGGCAGCCCCAGGGAGCCCCAAGAGGGTGGCAGGGAGGGGGACACAAAAGGCAGCCTTCTGGGTGCGAGTCCTCACAGCTGTGGGGTGGGGAAAGGTCCAGACCTTAGAGCGCGCAGACCTGGGAAGGAGTGAGGCAGCCTTCAGACCCTTGGTATTTCCCCCACCTGCCCCCACCAGTCATCTGGTATCTGGCCTGTTTGTCTCTAAGGAACAGCGGGGAGGGACTGAGGAGGGAGGGAGGCAGAAGAAAAGGAGGAGAGAAGGACGGTGGAGAGGAATGGAGGGAACCAAGCTGAGAGCCCAGACTGGAAACTCGGGCAGGGCTGGTGAGGAGTCCAGGCTTGCCCACTCCCCAGCTGCTTGCTTTCTCCTTCCTGGTCTGTCTCTCGGGACAACGCTGGTCTCTCGTTCAAGGCTGTGGTGAGGACTCGAGATAAAGCATGCCCAGGGCTTCCCTAGAGTCCCAGGTGGTGACCAGCTGTTCTCAGGACAGGGTCAGTGCCCAGCATCAGCCCAGGATCTTGTGGAGGGCTCAAGCCCACTGTGGATCCCCTGCATGGCTCACACCCTCGCCCCGCAGACCCCCCTCTCACAGACTGCATGGTCCTTCCTTCCCTGTGTCCACCCTCTCCTGCTTCCTGTCCTCTTAGCTCCGCTCTGATCTCCGCTCTTAAAGATGAGTTCCTCCAGGACAGGGCTTGCCTTTGTCCACTCCCTCGAATGTGCAGTTTAAGTACAGAAAGCTCTGATGGCTTCCATAGCAGCACGCTGGACTCTGAGCTCTGGAGCTCACACCTTCTGCCTGTCTTTTCATGTAACGCTCACCCCAAGGCCAGGCAGCTGATGCTGCTGTCTCCTGACTGCACTTAGGACACAGGCTCGGTGACATCCTAAGGCTGACACAAAGAGGTGGACCCATGATTTGAACCTAGGCCCATGTGACT